TGGAAGACAAAGCAGTGACTGCGTGGAAATTACTCTGATGTCAAGTGCTAAGAACGCAATAATGTATGGCTCTAGAACGTGCACAGAAATGACTGCTTTGCCACGTACTTTGTGCTGCAGGCAGCAGCCTAATCACACGCACGCAGCTGAACGGGCTGTTGGGCACTCTCAGCAGAGTCTGGGAGCTCTAGCACAGTGCAGTTTGGAAGCTGAGTCGCCGTGCTCACAGGAAGGCGAGGCGGCAGGGAGAACCCCCCCATGCTGGCTGAGGCCACGCGAGCACCTGCAAGGGAACCCTGCTGCGGGGCTGCCGAGGACGCCCCGCGGGGAAGCAAGGCCGAGCTGCAGAGCCGGCGCGGGAAGCTTCTCCTCCCCGGTGCTGTTGGCTGGAGCAGCGTGTGTCCCGGCCAAGCATGGCTGGCAGGCGAGCCCAGGGGCTCATGGCAGCGCAGGCACCGCAGCACGGGCTGTGCTGCCATATGCAGGAGCAGGCGGGTCAGGGACCCCGCGTCCAGCGCGGATCCAGCCTCCACTGCCCYCCTGAAAGCCTGAGCAGCCTGCAGCGGGGTCAGTGTCAAACCTCCCACAAGAAAGGCACCCAGCTGGTTCAGCACAGCGTGCTCTGTGCCGCTGCCAAACCCCACAGGACCTGGGGCCACTGTTAGTCGTGCTGCTGGTGATAGCACACGTTTACGGGGTCTGCAGTTGAGGCTCTGCCATTTGCTCCTTTGTGCATTCAAAGAAGTTAAATTGGCTTAATCTCACTGTGTTAAGAGACCTAACTGTGGCAATAAAGAAACCAAGTATACAGAAGCACAATGAATATGAGTTTCCCATTCATTCCTCCCTAGTACACAGTAAATTGCCAGTGCAGCCCTTTCAGCTTATTAACATCTTTAGACTGTGCCTCTCAAACACCCTGTTCCCCACTTAGCAACTCAACCTCCTTCCAAAACTTTTAAAGCAGGGGGAAGGCCAGGACCCCTAGACAAGATGCCAACGAGCGAGTGGTTGGTGCTGAAAGCAGATGAAGCGTGGCAGGCAGGAAGGCACGCAAGCCATGCCAGGACGGGAGCATGCACGTGAAGGAAGCACAGCCCCAGCTCTGGCGCCGCATAACCTCGATGCCTGCACACGCAGCACGGATCTCCACGAGGCCACAGTGAGTATCTGCTTGGCAGGGCTCTGTGAGCGCAAAGCTGCCTCATCCTACATGTGCTGCAGCTTTCCCCGTGGTTCCCTCACCCTCCTGGTCAGTTTGGAAACCCAGTTTCCTGAAGCTCGGGYGGCTGGACTTGCTGAACCTCGTGGCCAAACCCCGGCTTACCCTGCACACTACTTTCTTACTAACAGAAAAGGACTTCCCTCTGACTCAAACTAAGCACACATCAGGAAATAAGAACATTTGCAAAGTTGAAATCTCCRCATCAGGCATTATTTAAATTTGTAGGGCTATTTAATGTTCACCACACATTTGATCCTAACAGAGTAAGTGATTTTCTATCAGAGCATTTTTTTCCCCATTTTAACAAGGAAAACCGCCCCTCCAAATATACGCAGTGCTTGTTATTTTGAGGCAGTGAGGCAAAACATGCAGCACATAGACCACATTTGGCTTGCTTAGCAGATGTCTACAGATCACTTGATGTTAATTTCAACATAAAAGCTATTATATTTCTGGCCTTGCCCTATTAGTTGTTAAATAATTATTTATGGTTGGCAGATAAATTCTGGGAACCCTGAATAAAGCCCATCAACCCTACTAAACTAACAATATTTGACATAACAGTTTTCACTCATAAAAGACCCTGGATGTACTGTTTGTTGCATATACGATTCCATTTCACAACCTAAAAGGTAATCCCCTATTTATATTTAAACATTAACTGCATATAATATGCATTCCAACATTACTTCACAGGCAAGGAATTAGCTTGTCTGGTTCACTGACATTTACAGCTATGTACTACAGCTATTTTCAGGACATAATTCAGTTTATCTAAATAATCTTCTATTCACTTCACAACTGTGGCACTTGTTAATATGTTTTTCCATAGATATTTGGCTTTGTCTATGTAGTTTGCCATAGATGTGATCAATTAGGAATGGGTAAGCTGCGGACTCAATGGCAACAAAACAAAATAACAGCTGGAAATGGGGACTTTCCTTAATTTATAGTTTTAAGCAGCCAACCTTTTTTTTTTTTTTTTTTTTTTTTAACAAAAAGTGCTGTTTATACACGTGCTCAAAACTTTCAAAACTTTGCAATTGCTGTGCATTCTGTTTGAGTGGTTTGGTAAATTCCAAGCAGTGAATCTACAACAAAACTCGGAAAATACAGCGAGTGCAAGGCCCCATATAAAAGTCTTTCAACCAAGCCTTTGGACATTCAGATGCTCTTGTCTRAAGAAATTTAATTGATGTGTTGCCCTTTGTGAGCATCTTTTAGTGTAATTACACTGCTGCATCCTCAACAGACAAGTTAGAATTTAAGGATTTGGAAAAACAAGGAATTTGAATGTTCCGCTGAGGACAGTTCAGTCCAGATGCCTATTTCTATTTCAATTGCCTGGTTAAAAGAGCTTCTCCCTTACTGCAGCAATGTACACTGCATCTGCATTTAGGTTTCTGTGCAGTTTCTGATTTGTTCGCATCAACTTAAAAATTGGCCATCCACAAAAGAGCAAAAGGAATTCATGTTGCTTACAGCACTCTGCATGTCCTTCCCCAAAAGCCATGCAGCTTTGGTCTACCAACCCAAACTCTCCGAAGTTACCGGGAAGATCAGAGCTACGGAGGTACGAGCCTGCAGCACATTTGAGAAAGGTGTCTGCTTTAGCCCTGCAGGCCATTTCGTTGGGTCCTAATGCTGTCAAAATGCGGACCCTTCTCCAAGCAGGGAAATCCCAATACTCTTGAAACAGAGCGGTAGGACACATGAAATGCTAGGCRGGATGGGGAGGCAGCCGCCCAGCGCTGGCTGCTTGTGGCTCTGCCAGCCTTCCCAACCACCCAGCGCAGCACCCAGCGGCGCCTCAGGAAGCGCGATGGGACTGCCGGGGCGTCCTGGTGCCATTCCCCCAAGCGACATCAGGCACAGGATACAGAAAGCAGGAAAATCTGAGGAACAACCTCTTCACTGCGAGGGTGACATAGCACTGCTGCAGGGACAGGGCCCAGACAGGTCATAGAGTCTCCTTCTCTGGAGACAGTCAAAACCTACCTGGACACAACCCTGTGCAACGYGCTCTAGGTGACCTTCTTTGTGCAGACGGGTTGGACTAGATRATCTCCAGAGGTCCCTTCCAACCTCAACCATTCTGTGMTTCTGTGAAATGACATTACATATAATACAGGCAGAGACAGGTAAAGGCTCCAGCAGCCTACTATGCTCAGGAGTCTGACACATACACACCAACACAGCCTTGGTTTAGATATTTCCTTCTGGTGGAGCATACAGACTTTGGGAGCATTTTATTCCCTACTAATTAACAMTCAACACATTTGCCACCTCTAGTGCAAATCAAGTTGCTCAGTGAATTAAGCCGTTTTGTTTCCACTCCCCACCACACTCCTGTTTGAAGGAGATCATTTCTACAATGAGGACAACTCGGTGCTAGCCTAGTGAATAGCTCCTCTCACCTTAGGGGCATTTTTCTTACAAACTGGGATCCAGCTATGCATGTACCTCTAGCTATCTGCTCACTTGTTCTCTGACTCTCTGTAAATCTTCACTCTGTATAATCAGGATATCTCCTGGTTTAATACTTAGGACAGTTCAATCTTTGGCATCAAGCACTGATTACAGGACTAACACCCATGCTTCCACCATTTAACTACAAAACTAAGGATTCAGCAACAATTCCATTATTCACATGAAGAGCAAAATCTTTACTTAACCAGTTTTCTTGAAGTTTCTATATCTTTAACAAAAAAAAATCCAACAAACTGAAAACTAGTTGTGGTTTAGAGGCTTATCTTATTTGAAGGCCTCCAGAGTTCCAAGGTGACACAGTGACTAATGCATATGCAGGTTGGTATTCATACAGATTTATGTGTTTCCACTGCTTATGGCCAAACAAGGGCTGTTTGAGCTTCCTCTTCATTTCAGTGACAACGTCCTGGCCCTGATAAACATTCAGCCACAGCACGTCTGCTCTGAAAACCAAAGCTGCTCTCCCATCTCCTCTGAAGGATCTGGGGAGGCTTGCACCTCAGCCTAAGCACTGGTGGCTGCAGTTCCCTCCCCACATGCTTGCCCTTCACGTTTGCAAACGCAGAACTTGGGCGTACACACAACACGGCCCTGCAACGTGTCCAAGTCKGCAGACTTTTATGCCCCACATACACCGTGGAATTTCCACCGTGCATACAAAATTTCTCATGACAGAACACGGAAGGACCACCCTCCCCTTCCCTCTACGTGAATACCACAGAGAAAAATAGCAAGAGGTTTTCTCTTCCCTCCTGATCACACCGAGGAAAGCAAATTTAAGAGCAACGTGTATGGGGGGAAGGGATGGGAGAGTCACTGCAAAATGTTGAAGACCAGGGGTACAAGTACATACTTGTATTAACATCTTCCATCCCTGGAGCTGCAGTAATTTGCATGACATTATCTACCTGGGATGTTGCTATGGTTATCACCATACATAAGTAATTACCAGGGCAAATTGCACATACAGTGCACAGATTCATGCTGTCAGAAGCAAAGRATCTTTTCATACCCTTGAAAAAGTAAATGCTAGAAAATCACTAATCACAAAGATTCCTGATAAGAGAAAAACTTCAAAACTCTTCCAAAATGATCCAAAGTGTTTGTTAGTGATGTTTAGTGATAGCAGGACCAAGAGGCCAACCCAGCTCATGTCCAAGCGAGCTGGACASTGCGCAGGCTCTGGACAGCCAAAAATCCTTGCCTGGAGAGTTTACAGTGCACCAAGGTAAGAYGGGGACAGCACAAGAGCTTGTCACACAGAACAAACAAGGCTATCGGCCCCATGGTAGTGGGACGGTATTTTTCATATATTAAGAAATTCAATTTTGACAAATTAGACATCAGATGAGAAGAAAGATGAAGGAAGGATGTAGGCTATAGCCAGGCTAAAAGGAGAGAGAAATCAGGCTGTTATGGAGAACTGACTGAATAGCCAGCCACGACAGGCCGTAGGACGCCTTGTCCAAGAGGTTCTCTGAAAGCTCCCAAACGTCCCTTCTGCCACGTTGCTGCTGCCACCCTGCAGGCAGGGACCCCATCGTTCTCTCATCTCTTACCCGCTGATGTCCCACAGGTTGGGGACAATTGAGGGGAACAACTAACACCTAGCASAATTTGACCAAAGGTCCAAATATAGGGCATCTACTGCTACATCATCCAAAATCAATCAAACATAAAAGAGGTCTCTGAAACACTGCTGCAGTTTCACTTCCAGCACTGTGTACCAACAGCTCGAGCTCAAGACTGTTGACATCAATGGAGATTTTACAACAGCTTTGATGAATGTGTTCTATGCCTGAAGGAAAAGACGGGGTTATCAACAGTGCTGCTGCTATGATCTAAATCCATGTAAAGCACATTAGCCTAACTRGAATGTAAAACATGAATCTGGAAAATACAAAATAATTTAATCTAGGATGACATACATCATTGTCTCATATGTATCCAAACCAGTCGCATGTTCTGTGCATTGAGAAATGCTATATTTATTCCGGATGTACAGAGTGCAGTAGAATTGAGAAGGAAAAATATTATTTCTTCCCTTCCTGGCTTATCTGAAACACAAGTTCTTCCTTTGTTGATCCTAGGAGGCACCTGCTCCTTACAGACACTGATCTTCATCTCATTTTAAATACTGGTATCATATAAGACTAATTGTCATCAAAGAACATAATTCCCCCTGAACTTCAGAATAAATTTTCTAGTCAGCACTGGCTCTTCTCCCAGCCTTGTTTTTTTCACAGTTTTCCCTGAAAAGGATCAAGCTACCACACAGACTCTGGCAACAAGGACACTTCTGTTCTTTTACCCACAGTAAGCTCAGCTTGCCCGTGTTTCAGCATCCAGCTCCAGCAAATCCTAATAATGAAGTGCCACCGTTACGGCCTACACTGCTCGCTCTCATTTCTCCAGTTGCCTCAGCTGGGCGTTAATCAGAGTGAAGAGAGACACTGAAATGTACTTGTTATGTTGATGAGAAGCCCAGTGAGTGCATGGATACCTTGCCTATTTATATGAGACTCTCTATGCAAAAGGCAGTAAGCTCCTCAAGGTACTGCTTTTGAGCAGAAAACAATGCATGTTACTTTTGCAAAGGCAGAAAAACACTGATACTGAGGGAGAAGAGTTAAAGGAGTCTTGGATGTTGGCTGCCTAGCTGAAGATAATATTTGCACAGTGTCAGTGTGAGAAGCGGTAGGTGCGATAGCACTCCTACTTTCACCACACTCTTTCAAAGAAAAWTATGACCAAGTTTTTGGGCTTGAAACTCATTCCAGTTTTAATACAGAGTTTGAACAGATGTAAGGCAATACTAAGTCTTTCCTTTGAAGGACATAGTGAGAAAAAATGGCATCCGTTACAGATCCATTGGGACCATAAGGAACATACAATTACTGATGGCCAGAAATACTTGCTAAAGATATAAATGTATCTTTATTAGGAAAAATACACATTTATGACATAATAGGATATGGAACATCTTTGTTTCTTACCATTTTTGACATAAGTCATCTTTGGCCTAATCCGAGCAACTGGACCCTAAACAATGACAGGCATATTGTAGTTCTAAGCATATTTTATGGAAAATAGTTTGCTCACTATGAGTATCTCATGGAAAGGGAAAGTAAATATGTAAAGAGTAAAATGCAAGATGGAAAAAGTGAGATAAATATTGTTAGATTCAGGGAGAAAATGCTATAAACAGTAAGCAAAGCTCTTTGATTTGCACTGTTTTCCAGCCCATAAAACTCTAATATCTGCCARCGTTTCATTAAAAGCTTATAAACTACCCAGCATGCCTGCTGCTACATAAATGTATGGCTAAAAAACATTGCCAATGTTGCAGACCCAATATTTTGCAATGTTTCAAAGAAACCTTACGTGTATAGAACTCAGGTGCATTACTGAAAGACATGTGCACTATGAAAATAGCATTTTAAAATCTAAATCTGGTTAATATTAGTCAGTCAGTAGCAATAGGTTTCGCTCAGCAGATGTTCACAGTGATATTATTAAAGCAAAATACAGCAGCATTTCAGAGTAAATTGTTCAGTATGTTGGGGATCAGGGAAACTTTAYGCAGAGGAGTGAGAGTTCAAGGTGTTTGATGAGGTCACGAGAGCCCAGCAGCAGATTGTGGAAGTGTTGATGAGAGGTACATAAACCTAGCAACACTGAGATCAACAACTATTCTGACTGAACATGGAGTCTGTTCTCAGTGTTAAAATCTTGGACCTCAGCCCTACAGGAACTTTTCTTTTTCCATGAAGTCAATCAGCTTTATATTGTTATTAGCAACGATACCCCAAACCAAGTCTGGAAGAATCAGAACACTCATGATTTCTTGTCTTACGTAAGGTTATTGCATTTCAGGACTCACACAAGCTCCCTCGTTGTCTGGAGGCTTTGAAATGAATGATCACGTACGTACTTTGCTTACTCCACGTTACTACTGCAGTAGGGTTTTTTTCAGAAAAAAAMCAGAAGCAGCTCCAAATTGTTCCAATGAAAATGTGTCATACCATTTACACAGATCAGTTTACCTCCTCCTTCAGTACCTTCACAGTCCTTTGTTACTAAGATCACACATGTAGCTACAACGTTACATAACTGACCAGTGAATGGACACTGAAAGATACATTTTCTCTATGCAAGGKACTTACCTCTTACTTGGCAGCACACTGGCACCATGTGGTTCAGGAAATGGGTATGAATTCAGCACCTCAGCACAGCTTCACCTTCAGAACAATGCAGAAACATAAGACAACATGAGTAGCTATATGTAAATTATTGCAAAAATACAAGATTCCTGAATTCTTCAGCAACAACTTTTTTTTTTTTTTTTTTTTTTTTTTTTTTTTTTTTTTTTTTTTTTTTTTTTTTTTTTTAGGTACTTTGTCTTACTGGCTTCATAAGCTCAAAATAAAGTTGGTGTGATCAACTAGACCACTTTCCAAGATGCTTCCATTGAAGCAGCTCTGAAACATATCCTTAAAACCTAAACACAAAAACTATCCACAGGATAGTCTAGCCAGGCCTAAAGCAAAAAGSAACTCACGTGAAAAGGGTGCATCAGAGTTTTCTTCTGCCTAAACTGCATGTGGAAATCTCCAATGTGACCCTTTTACTGTCAAGTAAAGCACAGTCAAGTCTGGTGCCATGCACAGTTCAGCTATGCCTGAGGCTCAAGAGATGTCTACCAGATAACCGCAGCACAAGGCAGCCTGTGSTACAGGTCAGCATCTTCAGTGTTTTGTCCAAATGAATGGCATGAAAATCCCAGCACGTCAGTGCTGGTGGCACCGCCACATGCCATACCATAAGTAACACTCATATATTCTGTGGTCGAAGATGACAAATTAGATGCTGCAATTTGAAATGAGCAGCACTCTTGGGTCTGAAGTTACGATGGACAAAGAAGTATTGGCCGATCCACCGCACTCAGTATTAGTTTAAAGCGGCAGCCACTGGCAGTGAGATCATTAAYGTGCCACATTCAATTCTCCCAAGATACTGCTTCAATTAGAACAGCCTGCTAAGAGACTGCTTTTACAATCTTGAGCAAAATAAATCATAATTTGAGGAAAAAACAAAACAATAACTTTTGTACAAAAAAGGCTTTGGCCTATTTCTCTCATGTAATATTCACAATTGTGAATTTGCTTCCCTTAAAGCCATGGTGACACTGTTATGACAAATATTTTCTAAAAGAACATTGAAAAAAATTCTTTGTTTTTCTCTATAGTGTTTAAATATTAACTTGGCATAACACCCCTCTTTCATTTGTACCTTGATTGTTGCTTCAAAAAGAAAAAATCCTATTGTTTTCCTTTCTCTAACCAACTCAGAATGACAGCCCGAACCATCAAYTGGAGAAACCGGGATGACCACAGAACGTGTTCAAGTTAACGGAGCTTTRCTTTTCTCAGTTAAATGAATTGCTTGACTTTGGGTGGATGTATTCCCTTTTCAACAACAGTAGGAGTTTGGAATGGTACTAGAATAAGCAGAGAGWAGAGGCCTATCAGCTCCACACCTTAATTCCTGTGCTGTTCCTAGTCTCCTTGGCAAAGAGGAATCAGACCATCTCGATGGTCTCCACATCCCCGAGCTGCTTCTTCCTCATGTTCTCAAGGGGAACCGCAATTCCCCTGCTGTGTGGAAAGCCRGGATGGGCTTCACTGCAAAGCGAGTCTGGGCTTCACTGCTGCCATCCCGCAGCAGGGCGGCTGCGGAGCTGCTGGCCAGGGCCAGGGCTGACCCRGGCGAGCGCTCCAAGGGCCACAGCTTGGCTGTGACACCGCCGGGTAGGACAGGGGCCCCGGGCTGAGGCCCGGCGGCCATTGGGAGCCGTTGGGCATGGCGCGCTG